TATTGTTGCAGAAAGCCGCTGGATGCTAGATGAACAGCCTCCAAACAGAACTGGAAGACTAAGTAGAAAGTCATCTATGTTAGCAGTTTTCCGTGGATATCTTTGCTGATACGATGATGGTGGAAAAAGGACAACAGTGTTTTTTCTTATTGAATGATTTTCCAGTATGTAAACAGGTAGGTACTTGTCAACAAAAAGGTAATAAAAAAATAATTAACTTGAAAGTTTTACAGTACGTGGAGACAAAATTTAATTATTACTGTTGATGTAAAACTAATGTCTTACTGGTTATGGTAAAACCCAAGACCTTTATGCCGCAAGTGCTAATAAAAAAAAGAATTTAATTTCTTTATGGTAAATTACTTAACTGCTGTAGTGGTATAAACCTTTATTAAATGTCAATTTTAATTACGATTAACTGTGAATTATAATATAAAATAAGGAATTTGGAGTAACTACTTAATAATTAATTATTTAGAATTATTTAGCCTCATATTTCAATACAAGAAACTTGAATGTAAATTGCAACAGATGACAGGTACTAGTTATCTATCTGTTATCTCAGTAACAATTAATCTTTGCCAACTATTAAGTCAACGGTACATTCTCAAAGATTCTGGTTTAAAGAGCATGTAAAGATAAATTGCATCACTAATAAATTTCGAATTAATTTATATATACATAAATATTTGTTCGAAAACTTGATGCTTGTTGAGCAATACAACAAATTGGAGCGATAAACTTTACCTAATTATAATTTATAATAAACTAAATACCAAGAGTATTAAACGTAACCATGCAATGAATGCAATTGTTGAAATATTAATCACCAAAAATATAAAATTTGCTTGACAATAAATTGTCCCTTGTAGCCCTGATTTTTCTTTCAACACATAGGTTCTATCCTAATAAAAACACAATAAAAAAGGTAACGAAGGAGTTACTAGTTTATCCGTCTACATTAGATAGATTCTAATTCTATTTCGAACAGACACATAGGTTTACTAACGTAGGTACAATTCAATTATTTTTTACGTTTCAAAAACAAATAAGTACCTTCGTGAAAATATAGTTCATTAGTTTAATTGAAATAAATTATTATACTGAGACCAATATACCTACATTGTTTGTCTTCACATGTCATACTTGAACTAGATATATTTGTATAATATATCTGATGTATACATATATGTAAAGACAGAATGATGTAGATATAAATATACCTACATAATATAGCTCAGAAGTTAACTTGCACATTTGATTCAGTCTCCAATCATTACAGCTTGTTTATATGACAATTATTTTAAATTAAGTTAAAATTACGAGTCAACTAAGGAAAGTTATGATCATAAACACGTGCACATAACGACGTCTTTATAACAGCTTAATTTACAAAATTACTGGCACAATTTGTTCTGAATGCAATTTCCGTCTTGTAATATCAATCACACGAGTTCTCAGTTGCAGGAAGAAATGTAGGTACTGAGATGGGGATTGAACCGCAAACGAGCCCTAATATGTTGCTAGTTGAAGGTAATGAACCATTAATCTTGCTGGGCTTTCAATCCTTTGCTACTTAGTTTTGCAATTTGTGAATAGATACGTTGATAAATTATGTTTATAGTTAACAATAAATCCCATTTCAGTTTTACCTTTGATTGGCCCAGTATATTGTAACTGGGGTTTGTGCCTAGTTACATTTTTTAGACGGTGCGTTTACAAACATACAGATTCACATACACATCACACCCACTCCCAACACTAATCTGTTCAATTAAATTATGGTTTCCCATATTTAAGGATTGGGGGGAATGGGGGGAAGAGAAGTATAGTGCCTCCGGTAACCTCAGTTACACGGCCAAACACAACGCTATGGTTATTTCACGCCAGTTTTCTCTGAGGATAACTCCGGTCTAGCCGAACAAGGCCGACCATTTTGCCGAAGCTCGGCTCTCCCATATTTCAAATAAATATGATGTTTAAAATGTGAGCGTTGAAGCCTTTAAAATATTGCATCGCGATTATAGAGATCGAACAAAATAATGTTGTTTATAAGAATTTAAAAATAGAATTTTAGTACGTAATAGAATGTAAATGACAGATTGAAAATATCAATATAGCATGTAAAAACAAAGTATTATAACATATTTACGTGAACGAGGACAACCACGAAGTGTTTGTTCTAAACTTTTTTGTGTAGGTTTTAAAATATACCCTATCTGGTCACGTACGTAGCAATTCAAAGCAATTGGTTGTTTGCAATAGAATTATGTTGCAAACGACATTATTAGAAGTGGACTGCTCTAGTTATTTGCCTGTTTCATTTTCCTGGCTACTCGCCAAATTTAAATAAATATTTTGCCATAGAAAGTACCTTGCTACATAATATGTATTATCTGTTTTAAAAAAACGATTCTATTTACTTTGTTGTACTAATTTTAAGGCTTGACAATCGAGCTTACTGACATGCTATTGTTGCGGCTTATATCCAGCATTGGTTGTACCTAAATGGGCTAATGGTGATAAGTATTTTTATCCATTTCATCACACACACCCATTATTTAATACTTATACGTTTAAATATGCATGAAATGACACGGAAGTATTAACAATCTTATACATTCTTATGACACATTTGGAAAGGTGTCAAAAACGCGTAGATTTTCCATCATGGTTAATTAATGAGATAATGACGAGTTTCCCTTCGTCACAGAATATAGAGGTTAATTTCTTATTATGTAATAAATAGATACATGTCATATATTATAGCTTTTTAACAACAATCAACACATAGGTTGCGATATTTTTGGTCTAATTAGAATAAATAGTTGACGTAACTACTAATAAAACGTTATTAAATTATTTCTGTCAATGTCACAATTTTCTTTATTTAATTTTTGTCTATCTAGTTACTTCAATGAAATATGGTAGGTAAAAACCGGTTCTGATTGTTATGTATCTCATTTATAATCATAATGACGTTTATAGAGACCTTCTAGCTTTCAAATTGGATCAGTTCATTCCTACCTGTACCATTGGAGTGACCTTTTAAATGCCCCACGGCTGGCACGACCTCTAGCCTCACGCGACAGCGGAACTTGTTATTGGGCCAAAGAGGGAGTCAACTGTCAATGTGTCATCTAGATTGCCAAGAATTCAATCGCACGGTTTGTATTATTGTTTTCTATTTGTCATAGTCGTATAAAAATAAAAGTGTAGGAAGTATTCTTTATGTCGCATTTACTATTTTCGTATTTCGTATTTCGAACATCTTTTATACTTTTTTAAAAGCTATTAGAAATATATTAAAGCACACTAAGTTTTTTTTTATTATTCCGAATAAAAACTTCTTGTCATAAAACAATGCACATCTTTACATCGGTATCATCGATCACTAATAAAGAACTGTTGTTGAACTGAGTTCTTTATTAGTGATCGATGATCGGTATTAAATAAATAGTTTATTGTGATTTATTTTTATGGAAGTATTGCTGGCTTAATGCCACATGTGCTTATGTTTGCTTATAATTAAATCAGCATGAGAATGAATACGTACGTATTATTTACAATGCTCTTACTTAATAAATATTTTGTTTGTCTCTATATCTGTCTCAATTTCAATTTTAATAAACCATCAATCAACTGTTCTTACAAAATTAGTAAATAAAAAAGACATAAAACACGGTAAGTATCCAATCCTCTAGTAAAAGTAGGTACTTAGTTAATGTGAAATGATCTAAATTAGTTGATTACAGCGACACTTGTAACTATTACAGTTTACTTGCTTCAGTGTCGTAAACTAAACAAGAGTAAAACCATTGCTTCAGAACGTTATACAATTAGTGAAGAAACTGTGTCCATAGTTACGTTTAGAACTGTTCCGATCTATCACTTTTATTGTCAACATCTAACTCCATTTTGTTTAGAAAACTGAATTCGTTATAGTGACCATTCAAACAGTAACATAGTCCAATACTAATAGACTGACGTCATTTGCTTAAATTATTGGAGCCAAAATTTTAAAATGTTACTGACCCTATTTTATTAGCTTTCGAAATTGGAACAGTATTTTTTATTTCTTTTTGACGTAGGTACGAAACTGCCAGGTTTGATTTCTTTGGTTTTTATTTATAAGGAGGTTTTACATGCCATCAACAATTTAATTTGGAGGTAGACCATAAATATGACAAGTATTGATTATCTGTTCTATAAAAGTCATAAATAAAGTTGGAATTCATTTTTTGTATTTTTTATTATGTGGGATAACTGAAGCATTTAATATTTATTTATAAAATTAATTATACGATTGATTTTACCCTATGAATTAAATTAGTTCTTTGCGTATTATATACTTATCAGATGAGCTATTTTCCTTTTGTAGCAGTCTTTATAACTTCTATGTATTTACAGTTATAGGATTTTGGTGCATCCTGATTAATTACGTGAAAAGAAAAGTATGCCTAACTAGTTTTGACCGTCTAGACCTGTCTAGATTCATCAAATTTCAGCTAACGTATACCTATGCACAGCTATTCATTATTAAAGCTTTCTAATTAGATTTAAAACTACTTTCTTAATACCTACATTTATCTATATTCTTACGAGATTTTTTGTTAAGCGTAACTTACAGTCGTATAGGTACTGCCACTGCCACCTAGTAGGTATTCTGCAAAACGCAAGTAACTACAAATTCGTGTTAGTTCTCCAACTGACCACAAGATGTAGCGGGTTAGTAGGAAATAAAACAAAGTGTTGTTAATACTTGCTTTTAATAAAAATACTGCGCGCAGCTATTTACCTTATTTAATTATAATTTTTCTTTGGTTTTCGAAACACAAAGCAAGCCTTTGGTTATGAAATTAGTTTGTTTCCATAGCAAAGGCATTTGTAAGAGTGTTTCGTCGTTTTCTTATGTAGTCTATCTTAAATCTATCAATAATTAGGTACATTTTTATTTACAATTTGATTAATATTATCCTATAATTCTGATTTTGATGAAATTATTCTCCTGTCATTACTTCAAGGAATTCTGAAACAAAAATTAATTAATTTAGTCCCAAGTCTGTTAAGACAAACCTGCTGATACTTATTTCTAATAGATAAAAATAAGCACCTTCTATATAAATTAATTGGCTCTGATAGAGAAAATGTGTATCTAATTATTGATACCACGTGTGCCTAACAATTTATACTGCGCAATTATTTTCGCTTCAGTACATTGTAGAGTCATAATCACAACGTATATTTGCGTACAAGTCAATAGGAAGTCATTAAATTTACGTGAATTATTTGATTTAGAGCCATTGTGACCTCATTATAAAAGTTATATTTAAAAATACTTTTAGAGAAAGGAGGTAGATAGGTATTTCTAACATACCATCAAAGTCCACGGTTCCTGATCCGTCAGAATCAATTTCATCAATCATAGTGTCCAAGTCTTCAGCTGTAATGGTGTTGTCCAACTCCTTGAAGATTTCCTTTAACACGTCTGTCGTGATGTACCCGTTTCCTGAAAAGAAAACAATATTTAGGTAACTAAGGAGATAACACTAAGGAGATATCTTTTCGCGTATCAAATTAGGAAATTGGACCAGATATACAGTCCTATATATAAAGGACTTTTCTAGTTGGCTTTTTTGACACATTCCTTAAAATTAAATATTATTTAGTTTTGTTTCGTACCTTCCTTATCATATAACCTAAAAGCTTCTCTTAATTCCTTTAACATAGCTTCATCGTCTTCCTCTTCTTGTAAGAATTTAGCAGCTAGCGCGCAGAAATCTGAGAACTGTAATTCACCGGTTCCTGCAAAACAATAATGACGTCATAGAGATTTAAACAAATTGGTACGCTGAACGTACTCAATAATTTCGACGTGCTTACACATGCCTCGATAGCCGTGATCGTCTAGTGGTTAGGACCCTACGTTGTGGCCGTAGTAACCCAGGTTCGAATCCTGGTCACGGCAATGTGAAAACATTGTCACGGTGGGGCTTATTTTTGTTTTGTTATTTTTAACATTATTTTTAGATTGTTTTATTCACAATTTATTATAAATTTTCCCTAAACTCCTCTAAAATAGACGTCCTCTTATAACAATACCAAAGATTTTTGGACTATGAAATTTCGTGGGAAACTATTTTTTACTTTGATGTAATTAGATACAGTTATGTATATATTTTATAAGGTCTATAAAAAAATATTAATTGATATTTGATTTGAATAACACGGTGACCAAGGTAGGTTATCACTTTAGCTTAAAGCGCCATCTATCGAGTATAACAGATACTGCCGACCAAGATGGCGCACCAATGTTAAGTACTACTAGCGCCATCTCTGATATCGGGCGATACTTACGAGGAGCTAATAATCTTAACCTTTTTTAGCCTTGTGTTAATAAATAAGATTGAAAAACTTCAGTAATCATTTTCTTATTTACCTGATACAATCTGTGATAAGCAACAAAAACGAAATTGTTTATAAAGTTAATAATGCAGAAATAAAGTTTATTATTAAACTAGCTAGCTAGCTAGTATCTCTACTTAAAATTTAATGTCATGTAGGTATGACAAAGTTACATGTACAAATCAATTAAGATACAAAAACTATCTTCGATACCACAAAAACAGATAATAACAGATATAAGCATTCAGCATTCGTAAAGAAGCGAAATTCTTCTATAATTGAATATTTTTAGGACTTTCGGCTTACTTATTTTATGCTCTTTTTAAAGTCATTTAACTCACCATTAACATCAACTTCAGTGATGATTTCTTTCAGGGTGTCTTCATCCAACTCATGACCTAACATTTCCAGGATCGTGCCAATCATGTCCGTGCTGATGACTCCCTTCTTCTCATGATCAAAAGCATCGAAGGCGTTTTGCAGAACTGCATCCAAAGAAAGACATTTTATTTTACATTTTATACATACATGTATATGTAGGTACCTACATTACATTTGCACGAACTAAAAGCATTTTTTATCAAAACTGGGACTTCTTTATATTATTATAATAACATCTTCTTCATTCTTTAATATGAACACTAAAAGATTTTTACTACTGTTATAGTTTAATCTGATTCAGTTCAGCTCTTTTTAGACATCCTTTTTTTACATTTAATTTTAATAATAAAAAAGAACTTACGCTGCAGCTGGCTTTTGTCAAGTTCCTCCTGAAGACCACGCATGAAAGAAAAGAAAAGAACGAATAAATAACAGATCAACATTATAACAGTTTTTACAAAACGAACAATAAAAAGTCTGTATGGTCTCCGCACCCACCATTTTATTTTGTTGTCACAAACGCACTGAAAGTCCAACAGGTAATGTAACAGGAATTGATTCAGTCTATCTAGACGTAGTCCGTTTATATAACTCCGGTTCGACTTAGTTCCGCCTGGGTGGAATAGTTCAGAGATCGCCAACCTTTCTGTGACAGATTTATTTGTTACGAATTGCTTGGACTGATCTTTAACATACCAATATTTACAAGCGTCTTATTTTTCAATACAAGCATCCCGTCCCTTCGTAAAGGTGTCCAACTTCAACGGTTTCAGTCATTTTTATCTCGTCAATTTTTTCTTATAAGAATATTTTCTGTCCATAGAAACATATACAAGACGAATCAGTAAAAATTATCAGTTATTGTCGATATTTGCCATATACAACAAATTCAGCTATTCGATTTTATAAAAGTATTATAAGTAGATAGGTAAAACAGACATCTGGCTTTATCAAGTATTATAAACTACTAATTAAACTCTATGTGCAGACCTGGCTACAGTCAATTATTTTAATAATAAACGTAAATAAAAGAGCTAATTTTAATAACTGAATATCTGCATAAATACTAGACTCCTTTCGAATAAATAGCAAAACATTTTCAAATTAGCGCTGCTTCAAAAGAATATTAACTTTAAACGAAACTACTTCCATTGAAACAGATATAATATTATATTAGCAGAGCTAATGTTAATGTTTTTATAAATGTCTGAGATTATAACTTAATTAGCATGTATTTTAGTTACTTAGCTTTGGTACACGGTTCTTGTGTAATTTGGGGATAATATAAATTAAAGCCATAAATTACCGCTTATACGCTTTGCTAAATATTATTTGATTTTGACATTCATTAGTACCTACCTAAATAGAAACAGTACACGAAAACATTATTATTATACACTTTTAAGACCTGTAATAAAATTATTTTATTTTTATTTCACAATATGAACTCAATATTTGAATTATAATAAAGTTATTCTTGCGTAAATTTATTGTTGCTCATAAAATAAAGGTAACGCGAGACGTTTCGTACTTAACTCGTAGTGATAATTCGAGTAATTAAGATACTAAATTAACTTCCTTATTCCACCCTTAGGTGTCGTAAAAGAGATGTTTTGTAACACGATACCTTTACTTACAATTTGGTTGATTTTTCGATTCATCCACCGCTTTGTTTTGCTTATGTTATTCGCTTTGTATGATAACCAGTTCCTGATTAATGATTCCATCAATTATTATTTTTAATCGCTTTTTATTTTTATTTTATCGACCAATACATCGTAGCAATTCATACATCACACACAAAGTCAGATTCAAACAAGCAAGAAAACTTTCCTTCTCCAATTAAATAAATCCATTTACCTATTAGCGTACGTATTACCTATTAGCGATTTTCTCAAAAAATCTAGATACGTAGCAAGATATCAACATTTTGAAATCAAATAAAATAATCCAGTACCTATATTATTTTATGTTCGCACTTCAATGTCACTTCTAATTCTTGCCTTTACAATGGCATATTTTCAAAAGGTACAACCTACAAGTCTGTGGTAAAATCTGCTAACTTTGGCAATTCCAAATATTTATGGAACCAATTCTGCCGTCTGTCTGTCCGTCCGGACTGTCCTGTCTGTCGGAGCTTCTTTTCCTTGAAGACAGCTTGACGTGACAGATGATTTTCTGTTTTGTGGCATGCATACAAGTTGTGGCTACCACATAGTTTTCTACATTATCGGGACCGCCCTATAATGTAGAAAACTGGCAACATTATTACTTAATGGTAGCAATCATTACCGCCTATAGGACCCCTAGAGGATATGCAAAGTGCGTTACTGAAATTTTAGGATTAGGCCATTGGTAATCTCGGCGAAATACAACCCAAGTGAGGTTTGATGCTGATTTGACATAATACCTAATATTTACGACTGTGTTCCTACACGTTTTACAGTGTTCTTACAGAGACTAGAAAATATTTAAAAGTGTTTTTTTTATTTTATCACAGACTAACAGATGTAAGCCTCTGTGGTTTTACGTTACATGAATAAACATATGAATGCAAATGTGTCTGCAAAAAATACAATAACTTTTTGATGTTTCACAATTAAGTTTTATAAATTCTAAATTATTATTTAAGAAAGCACTTATGTTCTAACACTTTTGCTTACTGAATAAAAATTATTCATCGCCTTAAAATAAACTAAGTAGTTATTCGAAGATTAATATTGATAGATGGATATTTGTTCTTTGCCAAATATATTTTGTCACAAATTAATTTGTATGAGAAAAGAAAACTGTCGTGTTTATTATTTTTTAAACTTCATACCTTACGTGTACTTCTTAAAATATACTCGCATGAAGACTAAAATTAGATAAATCGAGACTAAGGAACAGTAATTTTTTCCATATATTTGTTTTTGAGTTTGAAATAATGTTTGATGATCTTAGTAAGAAGACAAACGGCAATGTGTCGTGTGTCGGCTACCGCGGGTTTGTGTTTTGATTGTGTTATTTCTTTTTGCGAAACAAATTCGATCCTTTAGGTCAATCACTATTACAGGGTCTTTCTTTGATTTTTTTTTACAATTCAATTTTATGCGAATGGTTTTGTAACGTTTTAATTAACAACCTGCAAATAATACAAATAATTTTGATCTCTCTCTCTTTCTCACCTTCTATTAAGTTTTATTTACCTTTCTCTGATAACATAAAGAATGTGCGTGCGAATCATAAAAACCTTTAATATAACATGTAAAAGATATTGGTATTGGTAATGAATGAAATAGTGAGCCTGATTGAGGCGTTAGAAATTATAATTGTAAATAAAAAAGTACCAGATATTTTGGTTTTTATCTACATCAATCTTTCCTTATATTTCATACGTACATTGAACAAATCATAAAACTGTGACAAGTAAATACTTTTATTTCTACAAGAAACCTAGACGAATTTAATACAAACTTAGTACTGCTTTATTATTACAGTAAACTTTCATTTTCATATTTAACTTAGAATATTACAGTCTATACATATTATTAACATACATATAACTATTTACCTTGCTCCATTTACATACTTTTATCGGTACTTTTATAAATAAATTCAATCATGTTGAAATGTGAAAATATCTGACATTTGCTCGAACCTTTTCATAAACGGATCAAAGTTATTTTTGTATCGACCTTTTAATTAACTGTGGAGCGATTCGATATATCTACTTTATTGATGTATTGCTCCCGAGCATTACTTACCACTGCTAGATTATATTATATTATTTTTTGCTTTAAAATACGCCAAAAACTTAATTTGCAAAAATATCAACCCGAAATAAATGTGTAGGAACCAGATATCGCCGGGTGGTCTTGACAAAACGCGGTGATATTAAATTGAAGATGAATTCAAAATTGAAATTGATTATTTTTTCCTATAAACAACATTTTTTTCTTATGGTGTAGGGTTACAGAGCCTACATCCTACAATACAGGAAATCTTAGTGTAGAATCTAGGGCCCCAAACAAGAAATACTTTTCATTTTGCAATAAAGTTTTTCTTTTTTTTTTCAATTTATTTCATGTCTTTCATTATAAGTGGCCGATAAAATAATGCTAAACTATTTTAAATAGTTCACATTACGTTTGTCACATACCAAATTATGATAATTGCATTCGACCAGTTCAGTATGGTACAACAGTAAAAATATTGCTATTTTACCTAGAAATGTCTAACAAAAATGAATAATTAATGTTCTTCAATCAATTAGTCGAGTTGGTAGCTCCTGCCTGTCACGATGGCATGATGCTTGGAATGCCTGGATCGTGACGCCCAATGTTAACGACAGGGCCGCCCTCAGCGGATCTAATAATAAATCATATGTATAAACGCTACATTGACACTTACGATACATCAAGTTGTATGCATTCACAGTTCAAACATTTCTGGTTTATAGTCGTTTCCCGAACTATTAATATTTTTGTGAATTAATTTATCGAATTACATTGCTATGAAGTAAATCTTGAAACCAAATGCGCTTATACAATTTCTGTTCAACGAAGTGAAAGAAAATTGTAGTGTACATAATTTTGTACTGTACACAATGACTGATTTTTGTCAGTTCCTTGTTCCATAATATTTACCACAACAATGTATTTTATTTTTATAAGTTTTGAACTGCTTTTACTTACTGTAAGTGGCATACAATTTAAGCTAGTGCATCAATTATGAACTTAGATCTGAATAGTTACTTCATTCATATTGAAGAATATTTTGTTTAATTCATCTATGGTAAGAGATTGGTATGCCCCATGGTAACTCGCTACACTACAGGATTCACAAGTGCGTTGCGGTAATCTTTCAATCCAAATATATTTTCACAGATATGTTAGTTATTTTCTTAAGTATTCTATTTATGTGTATATCTAGTGTAGTATAGTAAAATAAAATGAAATGAAATAAGTCGAGTTACACTTTTATAATATATTTGTTTCGAATAATAAAATTGAATTTATCATATTTAAGGATTCCAAATTTTAATTGGTTTATAAATATGTTAAGTTATTACAAGTTATTACCAAAGTCTCGAAGTATTTTTAAAGTTGACCAAATTTAAATATGACATTAAATTAAATTCATTTTACCTTCTCTTACATTATAATTTATTTTCATCTACAAAGGCGAAAAGAGGTCCCGCTTTAATGTAACTTCATCACAAAGATACAAATAATATTAAATGACTTTGTATCATATACTTAGGTAATTCAATTCATTATTCAACAAAGTAAAATTACAAAATAAAATTATTTTCTTCAAAAAGTTCGTTTGAAAAAAATATGTATAACACTAGTAAGTACCCTGGAATCAATGTTGTCAACTGTCTGTTTCTTTTCAGATGCTGTAGCCTGAAAAAACCATTGAGTCTGTATTCATTTTTTCCAATTCTGTAAAGTGTAAT